CTCTTACCACCTCTTCCATCTATCACCCCTTACCACCATCACTGCCTCTACCACCTCACAACCCCTCTATCACTTCCACTCTCTATCTCTATTCACTCTTACCACCCCTTCCACCTCTTTCACTCTCTACCCTCTCTATCATCATCATCTCTACTCCTTCTACTACTCTCTTCCACTCTGTATCATCTCTATCATCATTATCAGATTAATCAGAGCTGTACAGACTGCAGAGTCAGCTATTTAATCTCATTCATGAATTCAAAGAGATGTATATGACATCACATGAGATTTTATTACAGAGTATTTAGCAGTATATACTATAAACACAGAGATCAAAATGAGGTAGAGATAGTAAGAGAGAAGTAGAGATAGTGAAAGTGATAGAAGAGACTGTAGAGTAGTAGAGATCATGATGATGATAGAGAGGCTAGAGAGTGAAAAAGATGATAGAGAGAGGTGATAGAGGTGATAGAAGTGAAAGAGGTGATAGAGATGATAAGAGAGGGGTAGAATGATAAGATGAGAGTAGAGATAGAGAGTGAAAGTGATAGAGAGTGCTGTGAGGCGGTAGAGGCAGTGGTGGTGGTAGAGGTGGTAGAGGTGGTAGAGGTGGTAGAGGTGGTAGAGGTGGCAAGGGGTGGTAAGGGGTGAAAGGGGTGGTAAGAGGTGGAAGGGGTGGTAAGGGGGGGGTAGGAAGTGGTCCGGAGAGAGGGTGAAAGTGGTAGGGGGTCTGCGGGGCGGCAGAGGCGGTGGTGGTGGTAGAGGTGGTAGGGGTGGTAGGAGTGGTAGGGGTGGTAGGGGTGGTAAGAGTGGGTGGTAGGGGTATGAAGTGGAAGTGATAGGGGGTGCTGCGGGGCGGTAGAGGCGGTGGTTGGTGGTAGAGAGGGTAGGGGTCCACGGATCCATGAATTTTTGATGGTGTGCACGTGATGTCACGTTACAGCGTTTTTTGCACAAAAAAGTTGGTTTTTCTTATATATGATCCCAGCAAGCTCAGACGCTTCTCCAGATATTGCTATTTTAACACTGAATTGATGATTATGTCATGAGCTAATCTCAAATAAGTAATAGACTAACTTAAATAGTAAAATCAGATCATGTGAGTAATAATATCTTATAAAGTATCTAAGAAGAAACAGTTTCTGATTATTAATAATATAGAAATAATTTACTCAGTACTCTGAGTATAAAAGAGAATTTTAACTTAACTTTATAAATTTATTATTTCTATATTATCTTAGAATCTTAGAATAATAATATTCTTATAATATATCTGATTTTTATATTCATATTTTAAGTTCTTAGAATAGAAGTATTATCTTAAAGTTAACTAATATATTTTTAAATACAGGAATTTTAATTCAATTTCTCATATAAAAAAAAACTCTTAGAAATTCTGAGATTAAAAAATATAATCATTTTTAAGAGTATATATCTATCTTAAATATAGATTTTTTTAAAATATTAAAGAAATATTTCTATTCTTCTTCTCTTTAGCTATAAACTAAGATGATTTTTAAATCTTAAAAATATATGAATATATAGTAATAGAAAGTCAAAGTTGAAGAATCTGAAAAATTCTTATAAATCTTAGAAATCTTTATTGAAGATGAAACTGTTTCTTCTCAGACTCTCTGATGAGAATTACTCTGAGCATATGACTTGTATTAAAAGTAGGTTAGTGTCATGCTGAATTAGTCTGCAACCTGTTCAAACCGAGCCAGAGGTCTGAGCCCGCTGAGATAACTTATATAGAGAGATTTCATACAAAAGATAGAGCTATTTATAGTAAAACAAATGTGCGAGCCAAGAGAGCTAGCATAAGCGAGTATTAGACAAGTATTGTAGTAAGCTGATGATGATAAGAAATATAGTAGTAATACGATGTTGGCGTTCATAGTGTATGACCTCTTTTTCCTGACATTAGGTCATTATTCTGCAATGGGAATGCTTCATCAATCAGCCTTCTCTATTCATTCTCATCTCAACCGTGATACTTAACGGTGGCCGAATCTTTGCTGCAAATAGGCTACCTGCAAGAATATTGGCGCTGCTTAAGGTTTCATAGAAGCAGCATCGAACTCTGAAGATCGCATTTTCCTCTATGACGATCGTTTCCAGATATATGCCTCATATACTTTTCCGGCTAGTACAGTACAGCACATGAGTTCAATAAGCAGGTCAACACATATAGGGGTGCATTGAGCTGGGCTGCAAAATCGGTTTTAATTCACTGAGGCAAAGGGAAACTCAGTAGATAAATGACCGAACCCCTTCACATCAGAAATTCGCCCCCCTTCCATGAACTACTAATAACTTAAACCTAACTCCCGTTTCTGAAGGGGGGCGATTCGTAATAACATCCAGGGTTTGCTTGCTAGTATATTCAATGGTAGAGCCATAATAATAACTAGTAAGTTAAGTTACACCGCGAAGTCACTGAGGAAAAAAAAAAATTAAACACGACACGCGTCCATGGAAGTGCTATAGCTTACCTGAGTAGGTAAAGTAATATATTGAGTGAGTACAACCTCTCCAGGGCGTTTAGCGTTTACTTTTACCCCTCATATATCATAGCTTGAAATACGCCAATATACTGTACATAAAATAAAGCTTTGCAATCAAGATACTCAGAGGCGCATGGTACTATTCCATGTTCAGCGCCTTCTCACCCTTCTCTCTTTTATATATATATATATAGGTTATAACATGACTCATCACTCAACAAACTCATTCACTCAATGAACTTCAAAAAGCATTCTATAGAGCGGTTAATTTTCAACTGTAGTATAACAAACAACATTAATATTATATATTAAACATTAAAACTTCATATTTTATATATATATTTATTTTTGCAGTTTATAATAGTATCTAACAAAACGCTTATGAAATTGTATATAAAATGAAACAAAACACCTGCAATTATAAGATTAAAAAAGTGTTTAAAATAGTAGCTATCATCTGTCTACTTTTTCTTTTAATTCAGAGTATAAAGATAGATACTCTTAATCTCTGCTTTATATCACTTACAAAAGTGAAATACTCAGTTAATTTTTACTTGTATTTTAATGATCTGAAATGTCAAATTGTACAGTATTTAAGATATCACAGAGAAGTTGCAATTGAATAACTGATTAATATAAAATAGAAGATGTTATTCTTCAGTATCTGTGAGATTCTGATAGTAGATTGATGTTGTCTCTGCTCTAGAGACCTGTTGATCTTAATCACTATATTATATAACACAGAATCAATTGATGATCACTTACTCTATATTACTTTATTAAATGACATAGTGAGTGATTGAAGTTGAAGAGTTGTAGAAGATTTGTGGAAAAATCG